TCTCTCAGAGCACTGTTATAAGCAAGGGAACCACTGACAGCTTCCTGTGGTTCTCCTGAGCTGTGTTACCAGGTCCATGCCCTCAGTGTCTGACCCTGCTGTTCACAAAAGCCTTGGTGTACAAGGGTGAGCAATGCTGTGTCAGATCTTTGGATTTCAGCAGTGTCCATTCTACATGTGATTCAGAACCACAGTCTACCCACATACATCATCTGTATAACCACGCAATCCTGTTTTTGTTATCCCTGACATTCCTTCTACCTTCCTTCCTATTGCTTGTGTCATTATCTTATTGCACTTCAGCCACAAGTAGACTATTAATTCTTCAGGACTTCTTATGCTTTAGTATCTTCTTGCCTAATGGGAACTACCAGAACACAGTCATTACAAAACAAACATAGACCTCAACAGCTTGGACAAATAGGACGCACACATGTAATTTCAGCCCCTAAGGTCTGTATGACCTAGAAACCCACATTCACTTCAAGCAATTCCTCTTGTGCTTTCTGCTTTAGGTCGGAGATGAAGCTGAATCAAACTGTAAGGAAATGCAATAAATAAACACAATCATTTTATGATCTGAAAATCTAGTATGCTTACATTCAGTTTCCTGGTCAGTTGACAGCTGGTTAAAATCCAAGAATCGAACAAAAAAAATCTCTACCAGTGAAGCTCCATGAAAGGAAAGCAATTCATATATCACTGCTTCCTTATAACAGTCTTCCACAGACTGGAAAAACTACTAGCTGCAGCTTATTTCATATTTTCAGGTTTAAACAGGATATGTACAAAAAAAAGAAGAGGTGAGATGCCAAGAACACATGCAGTGTCCTCCAGCATCAGCTTTGCAACAAAAAACATTGAGTGTTCAGTCGGAGGAGACTGATTCAAGGAATTGGAGGTAAGCATGTCTGTATGTTAGTTAAGACTGGACTCTGTGACCACAGCTCCAAGTACCCACCTAACAGGCTGGGTTAGGGACATGTGTATTGAGTTGTGCGCACACGGCACAGAGTAAGCCATCTTATCTATTTCAATCTCTTGCTGAACACAACACAGAGCTGCTCCTCTGCATGAGCTGCAACCTGTTTCCCTGATGAGAGCCATGTGGCCATAAACCGGTGTATTGGGCACTATGAGATCAACAGCAAAGGACTTAGACCAGACACATGTCTGAATCCATAACCTTACCACCCTGACCCATCCCTGGGCTCCCCACTAACTGCATGGGATGATTCCAATGCCTAAAAAGTCCCCTGCAAAGGTCTCCCTGAAGCCAGGGTTAGTGAAGGTGCTCTGCCTGAATGTCTAGGGCTGTCTGGACACTTCAAGGCACCTGAGTCCAACCCATGGCTCAGCCTCCTGATAGGATGTGTGTTTCCAAATGGGATGACAGCGGTTTGCAGCAATGTCACAGTCAGAGAAGCTTGGGAGCTAGGGTCACCCTAGCTGATGGGTGTTCAGCCTCACACTTCTTCCTTCCCAAAAGGGTACCCTAGTTGTCAGGCCCCAGGTGGATTTTAGAGAAATTTCACACATATGTCAAAATAAACCTGTGCTCAAGGGTTAGCAGGATGAGGAAACTCATTATTCAGCATATTGGAGCTTGCAGCAATCTGCAGATCTAATTGAACGTGGTCTGAAAACAGGCTCTAGACATTAAGAAACCACAACTTCGTAACAGCTCTTTGTCTAAATTTCAGCATGGGAAAGCCAGTATGCCTTTGGCATGGATTTCTTTTTTCCTTTGCTCAACATTTTTTTCTGTGCTCAACGTACTTACCCAACCAGCTGCAAACCTCCCCAGAATCACAAACATAGTGATGAGTCAGTCTAACGCAGTCTCCAGCTATTTGCCTGGAAATCTGGCAGGCTTGCTGATGTTACAGCATCAAATCAGTTTCTGCTATCTTTCTTTGGCTTCCTTTCGCCTGTGTTGCCAGGGCATGATTTTGCTCTGATTTACACTCAGAAATTATTGCTCATAAATGATTTGCAATAGTGGAAATGATAGAAAAGGAGGGTAAGGAAGCAAAACAAGTGGAAAAGCCCAAACTACTCCTGGGCTGACTGGTCAGCTTTAATACATGGAGGAGGTTTGCAAGGGCTGCAATCCATGAGCAGCTACAGCTGCCGGGCTGCCGGTGCTGGCTGTCAGCACCAGCCCCGGCATGGCCACCCGAGCTATTTGCCCAGCAGCTGCCCAACTGCCACGGCTTAGAGAGTGTCGCTTCGCAGTCAGTAATACCTCAGCAGCTCATGGGCAGCTCACGTCCAGCTGTCCGTACACTAGGAGCAGGGTGGACAGCTGGGGCAGCAGCGCTCTCAGGCCCCTAAGCTCCCACGTTGTGTCCCAGACCCTGGCACTGGGTTTCCCAGAGCAGCCTCTGGCTTGGTTCCTCCTGCCAGCAGGGCAGGGAAGGGGCCAAAGATCCCAGTTTGCCAAGGACGTCAGTAGTACAAGGAGGGCAGGATCTGCACCAGGAGCTTCTGTGAACATAGGTGTCTACTACAGGCAGAAATAAAACCTGCTGTAAATTGACCTCCAGCAACATTGTCTTGAGAAGCACTGGCCACGCTCTGTACTGAAGGAGGAGACCCAGGCACATATGTCATGCATATGTCAAAATAAACCTGTCCTCAAGGGTCAACAGGATGAGAAAATTCATTATCAAGAGAGAAGATACTGGCATTTATAATACTAATTGCTACATGGCTTACATTAACATATGTTCAACAACAGCATCAATGATCTGCTTTACCGTTGTCATATTTTCAAGAGAGGACCTTTTTTTTAATCCAGTATACTTGTGCAACGTACAAGCATATTGGAGCTTGCAGCAATCTTCAGATTTAATTGAACATGGTCTGGACACGACAGGTCCTGCACACACACAGGCCCACAGGCAAAGAGGGGACAGGAAGACACAGGCAGCCAATGAGGGGGGCAGCACCCACCCGTCTGTCTGGCTGTGCTGAGGGGTCCTCAGTGGGACACCTCAGAGCTTTCTGTCCTTCCACTCTAAATAGGATGAGAAGAGCCCTGAAGGTGATATTTCAGCTGCACAGCAATTCGAACTCAAGTTAGGCTAAAGAAGTCTGCAGCTTTCACCCTGAAGGCATCCAAAAGGACCTTGTGATGGCTTTCAGTGAAGGGTGAACTTCAATCCTTTAGGAAAGAAAAACTTTCAATAATCACATTCTTACTGGCCTTAAGCTTCCAAGAGTTAGACTCACAAATATGTCTAGTTTTCTCTTTTTTTTTCTGACTGAGCTCACAAAGTCCAATACTTACTCTGGAGGAAGGAGAGCAGTGCATTGCTCTTCCACCGCGCACCTCAGCACTGACAATGCCATGCTGCCGGTAGCATCGCAGTACTGCGCATGCCTGCTCAGCAGGGCTACTGCTGCCATGTTATGTATTAAACCATGTGTTTAACGTTTATAGGTCATTTTGTCCTCATCTGCATTATAATTTTGTTGCGCATCATAAATGCAAAATGAGTTTCACTTCTCCCTATGCCTTTAGTTTATTGCATTTACATAAAGCTGTCGAACATTTATGAGGATTTTTATAACTTTATTAAATGAATTCCTTCAACCACTAAGGAGATCACATTTCCACAGTAATACTGTTATTTCCCAAACCTTATTTTCTGGTATCTTTGGACTCACTGAAGTGGCACATTTTTCATTAAACTTAGCAGTTCATAAAGTCATTAAGGTGACAGTAGTGTGCCATTATAGCTGTTGTAGGGATGCTGGTAGTGACTTCACCCTTGGGTCATCTGAAGCAATTATTAAGTAAAGTGTCAAGAGATATTGAATGACTTAGAAAACTTAGAATTGCCTTGCCTAAGTACCTCTTCTACACAGACAGCACATAAAGCTGACCTTCGTAGCTCAACTCGTCTGGAAAAAGAGAGCTATCGAACACTGCAACCAACACAGTCAAAAATATTAAGACATCCTTTCCTTCCTCTCTAGTATTCTTCATAAATGGAGCTTTTTTTACTCCCAGCAACATGTTTTCATTACGATTTTTGTCTGGTTCAGTGATTAAGCTTGCCTGCTAACCCTGAGGGTTCTGCTGATCTTCCTGCATGTCACAACCTGTCATCAGAGTCCCAGTCGCTCTCGTCTGGTGGGGGAAAATTGGATGCAGAAGCAACAAATAACCTTAAGAAGTGGGAAGCAGACTGCTAACAATATAAAACCTGACTATTTCCTTCCTTGTACAGCATTTAAAACTTACTGGATGATTCAAAACCTTCTAAAGAGATATGAGTCTTATCCCTGAAGCACTGAGCCATAGATAAGGATATTTTTCAGACAAAGGTCCAAAACCACTTTCCAAGCGAGGGAGAGATAATATTAAATTCAACTCCCAAATTCTCTGAACAAGCCTGGAGCAATAGAGAGCTAGTGATATCTCTTAATACTGTCTGAACTGGCCACATAAATTACAGGTCAAACTTTCTAGCAATGTGTCTCAAGGTGAACATTTCACCTTTGCTTAAAAGGTTGGTAATTTTGATCATATTGGGAAAATAACATTTTACAGCCACTTTGTACAAGTGGCACAAGCACTACAAACACATGTCAACCAAGCATCTTCAATGGTGTAAAATTTACATAACATAAGCCTGTAGTTTTGGACACAATGAACTTTTAAAAATTGTTACAATTAATATAATTTAGGATTTTCAGGGTCCAGCCTTAAAATTTACAAGGGTTCAGCACAGAGGTTTTTTTATGGTGGCATTCCTGAATCATTTATTATTATTTCTTACATTTTGGGATTGTTGATGAAGTCCAATTTTGGATATCATTTAGATGCTAAGTCTTGAGTGCTTCACCATGACAAGCACAAAACACAGTGGAGACTGTAAACTCTGTGGGGCAGGAATTATGTGTACTGTACAATAATAAATGACTTTAGGCAGGATCTTGCAATTCATGACTTTAGGTAGGGCTGATGGCAGACTTCTGCATCCTATTATACAGTCTTAAAATAAAAATCCCCAGCTCCTTACCAGTCTGTAACAGTAAGGGTAGAAATCTTTTATTCTGGAAGAGAAGGGGGTGGTACTACCTCCAGCTGAAATTCAGTGGAAAATTGCAGCCAAATGGTTTGGCCATTTCCAAAGCCTGCCTTCCTCTTGCCTGCTTGTTTTAGTGTTTCCAGAAATGGTTTATTTGAACAGCTGCAGCATCTCCCTGCTGTGCCACAGGGACTCAAAATGCAACTGGCGATAGAGGGGGGGAGGCAATAGCCTTGGTGTTTTGTGGCTAAAGCTGTGAAAATGCATTCGAGTTTAGCCACATTATGAACCTTGCAGGGATTTAAGTGCATGTGAGTGGGGGAAAAGGAAAAATACGCTATGCTGATGTTCAGCACTATTACACCTGTGCCAGATCAATCACCCAATCCCCCCTCCACCCACTCTGAACTAAATGGGGCAAACGCCTGTATTATATCTGCAGGCCACTGCTGACCTTGATGAGGTGAGGCTAGAATAGCTGCACGTAGGCATACACTCGGATCTGGGAGAGGAAGGGCTGCTGAGGGAAACAGCCAACTGAGTGCAAAGCATCTGGAGAAAGAAAGGAAAAAAAAAAAACCATATTCTGACTCTTGGCTTGCATCTGCTTGGCCAGAGATAAAAAAGGTGAGGGAAGGAGGCACCTTGCCCAGTGATCCAATGTTGGCAGCAGTAAAACATCCACAGTTACCTGCCACAACTGGCAGCACAATGAAACAATATGTGTCCTGTGAAGATGTGCACCCAGCCAAGCAGATGCATCCAACCATGCAAACTCGCTCCAGAGATCCCGTAAGGTGGGCCACGTTGAGTCATGCTAGAAGAGTCAAATACAACCTCCCCCGTTTCCATTCCCTCGAGGGCAGTGTGCTGAGAGCTTTATGGACAACTGATGTCATCTCCTGTGTAAGTCAACAGCACTGATGGCACCTTTGCCTCTTTCCCCTGTCATTTGGTGCTGCCTTTGGGGTGCAGGAAGCCACGTGCTGCTGCCATGGGGAACTGCAGTGCTGTAGTTTTGTGACAGTGGTGAGTCACGGATCTGCACTGCAGCTTTGCACAATCAAAGATTTGGGTTTCATGTTTATGGCTTTTAACAGAGACCAGACACAGCAGTCACGGCTTGGTAATGGCTGTCCTCCAAGGGTCTGGTGACGTACCTGCTGTGACTGACATAAGAGCTGGCTCTACCTGGAAGAAAAAAGAGGAGACTGGAAGGGGCTGTGCATCCTGAAGGACAAAACAGATTTCCCCAAGTCTCAATCTGTTCTCCAAACTGAGAAGTGCCAAAGTGCCAGGGATCACTCTAGATGTTTTCATGAACAGGACCAGGCTGCGGTGCTATAGATGTCTAGGGAGGTGGGCTTCTCCAGGGGTGCTGCCAAGCCTTGGGGGATGTGGTACCTGATGATGATATAGTTGACGTGGGGAAGACCTGGGCTATTCCAAAGGGCAGCCAAAGATGCAGACACACAACTGTGCTTAGCATAGAAGCATAGAAGTGAGCCAGTGGATTTCACTTAAACTGGTTTTCTTTTTAACCATAATTTTACAGCCAGCTAAAATTTAACTCAAAACATTGGAGAGCATTCAAAACTTGTGAAGAAGGTTGTTAACATAGTTGTAACTATGAATGTAAAATAGATCTTTCAGCTCCAAGCTTAAAAAAACTGGTAGTTCCCTTTCTCTCCTGTGAGCCATCTTCAGTTGCTTCTTACTCTTCTGTTGAAGCTCTTGCCCTTGCTGCCTAACAGCATGACAGTGCTGTTCTTCAGGCAGTTTTATCCCATGCATGCACAGCTATATGTGTGCACATCTATATATGCTATTTATAGATCTATATATAGCACAGCTATATGCGTGCATATCTATAGATAGAGGAGGCAAGGACACAGACTTTTGCCTTCTACAGAGCTGGCAATGTTTATGATGATTCCTGTGCTGCCTATCTGTTTGGACATTTTATACGGTCTTCACAAAAGCTGAGTTGCCATCATAACTGCTCCCCTTAGCCGGCTCAAGCACCAGACATGTTGTTAGTGCTTGTAGTTTTTAATCACAAGTATCACATTTTCTGATGACTTTCCTGAAGCCTCAGCTCTGGAGACCAGGGTTTATAGGAGAAATGTTGCCTTCTCCCTTTTTTTTTTTTTTTTTCCTTTCCCTTCCTTGCCTTGCCTTGCCTTCTTTCTTTCCTTCTCTAAGGTAAGCTTCAAGCCTTTTGGTGACAAAAACATGGACTACACAAAGGATGTCAGATAAAGCAACTAAAATTCTTATTATCTTTGTCAGATCTCATGGGCTTGAATCACCCAATTCATCATTTTTCAATCCTTTAGATGAGCAAAAATAGAAGTGTGTTATTCTATTGGCAGTTCTCTGTTTAGAGAACTTTGTTTACTATCTACCAATTACTTTGTAATTTCTTTTGCATTCTTCATTAGTGATAATAAAGGCCCATTATGCTGCCTGTTTGGCTAGACTGGTTTAACTAATTTCTTTGGGCCATTACTTTTACTGGTAACAACTTGTTAATGGTTGGACTAGATGATCTTCAAAGTCTTTTCCAACCTAGATGATTCTGTGATTCTGTCTGGCTTTGTATACTTTTTAATTCAAGCTTTTTATCTGGCATATCATTATTGATGCAGTCAGAAATTAGTAGTTTTAAATGGTGTTAATTAATCTAAGAGCCTCTCTGTCACCATTTATTTCACCTCACATCTTTTGCCTTGTTTATTTCCTGCCTTTACCGATTTTCTGTGCATATTTTAAGTGGAAGTACATAGCCTCTTTCATGGGCATCAGGCCCTTTTTTTTCAACATGCCCATTCTTTTGAAGAGCAGTCACATATAAGAGCAAGACTTATTCTGATTGATAGAGTATAATCTATCTCCTATTGCTGAGATCAGTCCAGCTGATTTATTGCTTCTTGTTTGCAATCTGAAAGAGAACAAGATCTTTTCCCATCAATCTTCCCAGCAGTCTCTAAAATACACTATTTATTGCTCTTAAATTTCTTGTTAAATAATATTCAGTCATCTCTGAAGCAATTTCAAATGGAGAATGTTCCTGAGGACAGTTAAGAGTCAGCAATACCTTTTCATTGTATGGGATGACACAAATAATAATGATAAATGAAGACACCATTAAGCTTTATAATTTCTTTAGGTGAGTTTCACTGACGCTTGTTTAAATTGAACACTAGCATTTGCAGAGTGAATACCAATTCTCCCCACAAGCCTTCATATGGATTTTACAGGGAGAAGAGTATTTTGATTGCACAATTTAAAAATTCCAGAAGAAAAAGAGAGTTAGTACTAAGCATAAACTGTGAGCGATCGTTGCACGAAACCAGCCTTAAATGCTCTGCAAATAAGCAATCAGAGTAACTGAGGCAGAGTGAAAGCAGCTGTGGGGGATTTCAGTGTACCCTGGACAAGACCTGCAGGTCTTGGTACAGCACACAGTGAACAAGCGAGATATTTCAGGTCAAAGCTACACTGACCTCAATCTGTTCACAAACAAGCTGTCTCCCCTCTCAGATTAAGAGGTCTTTAATGACAGCACCCTAATTACCTCTAGCTTGTTAGTGTGCAGCAGAAGTGCTAGTTCGGTTACTTGGACAGATGTCCTTTCCCAGGTCCAGCTGTGCTGGTGGAAGAGGTTGCCTTTCCCAGCCTGACCCAGACGGTCACTGTTGCCCTCTTGCCCACCATTCCTTCTGTGTCACTTGTGCAAGGGCTCCAAACCCAATTCAATCAAAACGAGCCTGGGTCACAGAAACCAGCAGTTTAAAATGTGCACTTGAAGAATATTTGAAATTAACAAGAGAAGCAAGAAAATATATTTTAAAATATAGTTTACAGTCTTAAATCTGCACATGATTTTTGGTACTCCAGGCTTCATACAAGGCCACAAAGGGCCACACAACCAAATCAGGCCTCCACCCTAAGGTCAAAGTCATCTGACAGATTGCTCTCATGACTGAATGGGGTCCAATGTCTCAAATATTTATACTAATTTTAGACACCAGTCACATTGCTCAAATGGACACATACTTTTAGAGAAGTCCCTGAATCAACAGCCCATCTAACTTAAGTTTCAGTGTCTTCAATGGTAATACAGTCACAGGGATGTACATGTGAGCATAATTTGGCCTTAAAAATCCATATTGGTAAAAACAAATGTGAAAAGGAGAAAAAAAGCAAATCCAGAGGCTGAATTTTCAGAAAGGACTTAAAAAAACCCTTGACTCTTTCAATTCCATCATTAGTTAACAGATTATTATAGATAACAATATCCACACATGCTGCCCTATGCTATCCCTTGTGATCAATACAACTAATTAAAACATTTTCTGAAGATGTGCAGCTGGATAAGTGCATATCAGATTGCCTGTACAGAGCATATAACAATACAGAGCCAAATCTCACATGCTACCATATATTGAACTCCTGCCCTAGGTAGAAGCTCCTTGTCCAAGGAATAGTGGGCTTAAAGATGTGAAATAAAACCCTCACATCCAGTGGTACCAGTCACACCTGTGATCAGTGCCATCCTTAGCAGTCCTGCTGAATCTCAGTCTTCACGCTTACTTAAAATACACAAATGAATTCCTTTTGTAACAAAAGATAATTGAAGTACATCTGTTTATTTTCTATTTTCTAAAGTCCTAGAAGGTGAAATGTGCATTGCTGCTAGGACAACCCTTTCTCTATTCATGTACACACATGACTTTGTTCAAACAGCATTTACCTGCTAAGGCATCTCTTTGGAGAAGTTGCGGATCTCTGTTTCTCCAGTGAAGACAGCAAATTTCTCCCTGCTGAATTTCCCCGCTGCAAACGCGTTCCAGATCTGTCTCTCAGGAGAAAAGATTCAACAGAAATTAGTTGCCAGCCACCTCAAAGTTTTACATGTGTAGCAAGAGTAATGGAAGGAGTGTAGCAGTTTATTTGTAGAGTAGAAACAAGCAGTCTAAATGAAGCAACTGATAATTGTTTAGACATTCAGAGGTTTTGTGAACATTTCATTAAATTGAAGGAGTCTAATGCATCCTTCCCACTTTTTACAGCATAGAAATTTATATGGATAGGCCCTCAAGCACATCTCTTTTCAGCATTTTATTTCCAGGCTAGTTATGGCACTGACATCTAGTTTTCAATTAGCCAACAGGTCTGTGACGTCTGTGAACGTCAGTGTTGAAATCCCTAACCAGGGAACCCAGACCATCCCACAGCTATGCCTAGACAATTTATGTGCTTGTAAAACTTCTGCTGCACAGAACCATAATAATTTATTGTTCTTCATTAGAGAGCCTAACCTCAGAGGAAACCTATAAGGATCACAAGTCATTGTCAAGTATTTTTTCTTTTTCTAAGGAAAAAAAAAAAAAAGAACCTCAACATTGTAAGTTGGTACCTACTCAGAAATAGAAGGATTGTCTAGATCCAAAGCAAACCAAAGCTAAAGGTTGGAGACCCACTGTCTTCAACTGTTTCTGGTGATCCCAAGTGTCTGGTGATCCCAAACGCAACATCTATCACCATCATTCAGGGGAAGATTAGGTCAAATGAAGTCGGACCATCTACAGCAATGCAAAGTCCACAAAAACTCAGACATTCCTCTTCCATCTCCACTTCTCTCTGATGACAACTTTTAGGGTCATTTCTTAAGACTTCTGCCTGCAATGCTGGCAAAAGTTCAACTGTGTTAGTGGCACTGAACAGCCAGCAGAAGACACAAATAATTCACTTCAGCAAAGAAAACTGATCCTGAGTAGAGCTGCTTGGTTTATCCAGCAAAGCTGGAAAAAAGAAAAATGCATCCTCTAATCATCTGTTGCTAGCAGAAGCTCAGGTGATCAAGGCCAGTAATGTGAGTTACTGTGAAAATAAAGCTAAGAATCTGCATGTTCTTCTGCCTCTGCCTTGGTTAGGTTCACGTCCTGTGTTTTTGCTGCTTGTGCTCTCTCCAGAAATGTGCACAATGCAGTAGTGAAGCAAGAGCTGACTGGGTATGTCCCACTATCTGTACAGTGCTGGATGGTTCCTTATTTCCCTTATGTTCAGTTTTCAGCTGGGGAGCTAAACAGACCACAGAGCTAATGGGGTACAAATTCCTTTGCTCTCAATTCAAGGAAAGGAACTATATGGGCAAGACCTCACTATCCTCTACATGTTCAACCCGTAGTTTAAACTTTGTGCTCTTGGGATTGCCTGAGGTCTGAACTGATTTCTCTTTTTTTATTCCTTTTTTTTTTTTCTGTTTGATTTATTAGAAAACCATGGAAAAAATCAAGAATCCTTAATAAAGACCATACTTTCTGTTAAAATGTGAAATCACTGGAAGATAAAAGATAGTTTATTTTCACATTTTTAAGACAGTGGAAACAGTAAGTTAGATTGGGGGAAAAAAATAATGAAACAAATCTGAAAGGCTAGCTTTTCCCTCACCTGTTCAATTTAATTGCCATGTTTTTAAGTTAGTGAAGTCAGAGCAGTATTTTTCCAGAAAGACCCGTCTGCCAATACTGACCAGTTAACGCCTCAGAAAGTTCCTCTTTTGGTCACATGACAAAACAAGTGGCATCATTATAATAAAGTTTCCTTGTAAGTCAAAAATATATAAAAGTACACTGACTGCATACTTCTATAGAGTGTGATAAAAGGAGGCATAGAGGTGACACATGCATTACTACCAAGTACTGAAGACAAGGAGGAAAAGGTGGCAAGGTGTGTTTGTTGTGCTTCTCTGGAGGGATAAAACAAAGATAACATAGGATGAAAGAGGATTCTCAGACTATAAGAGTCATACTTCTGTTAAGCAACACTATCAAATGTCTAATTGCCGAAATATGTGAGGAACAAAGTGCAGTAGCAAAATGGCCATGACCAGCCTGCTGTATCAGCAGACTCATAAATCTGAAAACAAGCAAGGAAACGGTTGCAAGAAGCTGAGGTTGAGATCAGAGGTCCATCATTTGTTTAAAGATGCCCCTGCAAAGTAGTATAAGATAATTACTAACACTAGCTTGATCCATTCACTAATAAGAGGCAGTAGTATTGAAAAGAAGTGAGGACTGCACAGGGAACATGGGAGTTTTATCATTTCCCAGTATGGGCTATACCTTAATGTCATATAATGTGGTGGTAGCAGCTCAGCTGTCCATCCTTGCCCTAGATAAGGGCTATACCTGCCTTTTTATGGCCAGGGACAACAAATTCCCAGCAGTTATACAACACGTGCAAAGCCTCCAAAGCAATATTTCTGTAGCAATATTTCTGTAGCCCTGTAGTACCTCGCTCTGTAGTACACACAGCACAAAACACAGGAGATCAGACTTTTAACACACAATTTCTAATAGCTGACAAAAAATAATCTTTGGCTTTCAAAGTTTTGGCAGGGAGCCATTTAAGAATTATAGGCTGAGCTGCAAAAGAAAAATGTGTTTTGAAATCCCATCTTTATTAGTTAAGCTATCATTATTACTATTCAATTATAGTACAAATGTGCAGCTTTCATAATGCAAAATACCATTTCAAAGTCTTTCGACAGGATTAGATGTAATGTGTGTCTCTCTCTCTTCAAGCCTAGTTCTTCAAGATACTAACATGCCCCAAAATCTCCCTGAAACCTGCTGACAAGGAAAAATGGAGGGGACAAGACATCTGAGAACAACACAAAGGATCATACAGGCCTCCCTTCTAATTAACAGTGGCAATAATTAATAACAGTCAAAAATATAATCCCTGCTGGATTGTTGCTTGGAGAAGGACAAACCAACAGGACAGACTCACCCTTTTACAGGAATAAGAAAGAACAACAGTTAGAAAAGAGTAATTCCTGATCAAAAATGCTGAGGAGAAGAGGTGGAAAGAGAAATAAGGAGCCCTCTGTTTTAGTAATACTGCCTTGTTGATCTTCCTTCCCTCCACCATGTGGTTTCTATTTTCTTGTATTAATCCGTGCTTCCCCTCCCAACATTTTTTCATGTGGTTGCCAGTTTGAGGTCAGCGAGTACTAAGAATGGACCGAAAAGAATTTCCAGGATGTTTTTTAAGACTATTAATAACTGTAGCAGCTATTCAAGCAAAGAGCGTTCCATGTTCATCATACTCCAAGGCCTAACATCATCACTTGAGGAGGCTGATTCAGTTTCCTCACATTAAAAATTGTACAGACAGTCGGGTAGGGTATGGGGCTTTGGAGACAAGATGGGATGCTGTTCCAGTGGGACACTGAAAAAGGAGCCAATACTGTACCCATCAACAGGAACATTTTTCAAAGGCAATGAAATTCTAGAGATAGTTCTCACAGGGGATTTTTAAGTGTTGCCACTTACAGTAGTGCACTTCCTAATTTCAGGGCACCCCACTGCAGAGCAGGCATCCTGAAAGTCCTAAAATGGGAGGTATTCCTTAACAATATGTAGCAAGACTGAAGCACTGATAAGTGAGATGTGCAGAAGACAGCCAAGCCAGGCAGACTGCCAGAGTCTACGGGGAGAGGTGGCACTTCTGGAAATATGTGATTAAGCTCCATTAAGGCCTGAGCAGCATGCCTCACCACAGTGGTGCAGGGGGACTCAGCTGGGACTTCAAGGAGAAAGGCAGTGTCAAGCCCACAGTGCAGTGAATCATTCAAAGTAAAATAGATCTGATCAGTGATGGTCAAGACAATGCACCTCAAATTACACTGAAGCCTTGTGTAGGGCAGACTGCCAACTGGATGATGACCTGTGCTTCAAACAGCACAGAATACCTCAGCTTCACATGTCCCAGTACACTGCTTTAGCCAATATAATGGGCAAAGTGGGAAGACACAGACAGTCTCATTCCTAGCTGTCTTCTGTGTGAGGCCTGACCTGGCAGATATGTTCCGAGAATGCCTTTAAAAAAAAAGAAAAAAAAAAAAAAGAAAAATAAAAAATCAGGCCTGGAACATGAGAGAGGCATGGAGGAGATGATCTGAGAAACTGGTGGAGGCCTGGGCATGAGGCAGCCTGAAGACACCAGGTGTGGCTGCTCACACAGATGTCTTAGTTCATATGTAATCCCCTCTGCTTCCAAGGGGATTAAACATCTGACCTTGAAATGCTTAAAACCAAGACCCAAAGTCTATTTTAAAGCTGATTTTATAAATCAGAAGATGATGTTATAAAAGAAGAAACTAAAACTTTCACAGAAGGAAAAGCAGCACTATGCCAAATTTCACCGTGATGTACAAGGGCATAAATCACATGTCAGAAGGGAAATATCAGGGAGTTAAGTGATGAATTCAAACAAAGAAGAATATGTGCTTGATAAAATGAGCTATCTTGGACTCTGCTTACAGACAGCAGCTTTTGGGCATCCAGGGATTTCCAGCATCCTAAGAAATGATAGAAATCATTTATTTTTTTTTTTCCCAAGGCTTTGCCTTGTGTTTTCCTTATTGATTTCTTATTTCAGAGAGTAAAAGAAAAAAAAAGCAAAAGATTACTTAGAAGGGATATTATTTTTCTTTCTTGCCTCCCCCAAAATGAAACAAGGTTAGCAGAATAAAGATTACAGACATTTATGGATTTATTTTTGAGATGCAAAGTTAGGTCTGATTTTCATATAAGCAACAACACACCCATTCTGAGTTTCCAAAGTTTCCAACACCCATTCACAAAGGTAACCACAGCTGAGCAGTGAGCCAAACCTTCAGCTGACACGGCTAGAGCCAAAGGGCGGTGAACTATGGCTCCAGCAGAGAGAACAACACTCCTGTAAATTATGTCTAAAGATACAGCTGATTGTTCTTCCTCTGTAGGAACAACAGCCCTTTCTCTTTTCCAGTTTTCCTGCCAGATGTGACGCTTGAAGAAGGGT